ACCATTTCGTTCGTTACATAACTGTACCAGATCGTTGTGCAATGTTATCATTCCTCGATAGATAAGTTCAGACCACCTAACCGACCCAACAAAGGACATCTTCTCGCCTCCAGAAATATCCTAAGAGTTATTACCCTGACTAGTCGAGAGTAATCGAAGAAGCCATCTATTCTCTGAACAGATGCATCATAGAGTCCTCATCTATGAGCAGAGACATGTCCTCAAGTTCGATCTCGTAATTCGGCTTTGGTCATTTAAATCTCTTATCGAGTAAAAAGGCTGACAATGCGTGGGGCACGAAAGTGAAAGCCTCTGTTTCGAAATCGTTTTTCGTTCGCCAACCATGGCCAGGCAATTCGTGCTACCTGCAGCCCCGATCGAGGCGAACGATCGTCGAGCAAGACGATATCGCGATCGCGTGAACCGTGCGAATCTCAGTAGACAACGACTTCCTCCTTTCCAGCTGGACGTGTCGCTTGCAAATGGCTCCACCTTTACAAACGAACGTCCTTGAACGAACCAGTGCACCGGGAAAGGTGATGAAAACCGGCCAGTCACGTGTACCATGTCGGTGCGAGCGGTTGCTAGTCAGTTTCGTACTGTTGTCGCGCGTTCCGCTGATTCTTTGCTGGATCTTCGCCCTGGCTAGGTCTCTGTGAACCTGGAAGACGTGTCTGAGTGATCGATAGAGAGATCGAAGTATCTTTACTCGGTCGTTCGATAGTTCAACAAGGCTCTTTCCGTTGGTAACTTCAGTAGAAGCATTGATCTATGCTCTGTTTAGGCCTGTGTGAATTGAAGGAACTCGTCAAGGGCTTGACAGAGGATTTGAAAGACTTTCACTCGAGATAGAATATCTGATAGAACCTGTTCGATAATTCGGGAGGATATTTTTGCTCGGTGTCCTCTCCCGAAGGATCATCTGATCCATCTATATCCTGCCTGAAGCTTTGGGAACCTGGAAGATCCTAAGTGCTTGATAGAAGAATCGAAAGACCTGCACTCGGTACAGAGTACCTTTTGTGAGTGACTTCTCTTGGAGAATCCTTTGATCTATCTACGTTCTAGGTCTTTATGGACCTGGAACATGTGTCCAAGTGCCTCAGAGAGCGTCAAAGAACCTTTATTCAATCAAGAATATCACCAACACGTTTCGCAGTATAAGAAAATTCCTTTGTCAACGTCTACATACCCATGAATTCCTCGGTATATAATATCACTGACATGTCTGATAATTTACAAAGGCACTTCTGTCCAGAATATTCATCTGATCAATCCACGACCTGTTTAGACTCCTAGTCCAAGTCAAGTGCTTAATCGAAAGACCTGTATACAACGTCGAATACCACTAAAACGTATTTGACAGTGTAAGATCTCTTTATCTTCTCTCGTCATTGTCTTCTCTCGCAGAATCGTGAGACGGATGCTAAGAGCCAGCAGTGTCTACCTCAGTGTCTCTCCGCGAGTGGTTTGAAAGTGTCTTTGAAGGAAAAGCGATGCGATCGAGTCTGTAGAGACGTGATTGACCTTCGAGAGACGCGTTCTCGAGCGGAGAGTCCTCGTTGCGGAAGCGGGTCTCGCGGTCGCCGAGGAAAGCGAACAGCTGACGCTAGAACGGTCGGCTAATGCTTTTCGAATTGACGAGAGCGTGCATCCGTGCCGGACAGCCGATTATTCTCAAAGTCGCCACTTCCGAGGTGGAGAAAGCAAAGTACACGAGGTGTCCAGCTGAGCGAAGACGCGTTACGCGAGCAATCTTCGGCACGCGGATTAGATTAGGCGTTATCGGAACGGACGCGAGTGTCTCTCTGGAAGAGGATGATCTGTGACGGTAACAGAGGTGAAACGAATCGACGGGTCACGATGGAATTTCTCGATTCCGTCACGTTTTCGTTCCGTTTCGATTAAAAGGCCGGGCGCGGAGAGAAATCGCTGCCACTCGCGGTAAAATATCGTCGCGAAACGCTCGCGAACGAGCGAGTCGTGTGTGCGCGCGCGAACGTCAACCTGAGGCACTGAAAACCGGCGTTCCCCTCGGAAGAAGCGCATTATTGCATGTGGCAACTCGATTACAGGCCATTCGACGACGTCCTGCTGAGCGATTATCGTGCAGAATCGCGGCCGCTCCGGAACCTAGGAGAAAGGTACTCTTTTTATTCACCGCAACGTGTTATCACAGTGTTTGATAGTTTAAAAAGACGTTTCCGATAGGAGGTTCTAGAGGCGAACCGTAGAATCACGAGAGATTATGGTGTTCTCGGTGTTTTTGTAATGGTCAAACATTTTTTAACAAGTGATAGTATTTTTTTTAATAGTTAAGCATTCTTCGACAATTTTAAACGTTTTTTTTTTAATTAAATAATATTCTTTGTTATTACAAATCACTTTTTCATTGGTTCCCGATATTCTCCTATAATTAATGACTTTTTTTTTTAGAGATTTTGGATACATTTTTAAGGTCCACCATCTTTCTAATAGTATCGCGTGTATTATCATAATCAGCTACGTTTCTAACCGTCCGTAGTGTTTGTTAAGTTATTTTCTACGAATAGTTTAAACAATTTTGTGTACTTTTCCAAGTTATTTTTAAACCACGAGTGTTCCCCAAAGTTTTTCTATACCTTTTGAAAATTGGACTGTTTTCATACAGTCCCAACATAGCACATATCTCTTCCAAAACATAACTCACAAATGAATTTTTAATATAAAATATCGCCTCATATACTAGAACCAGAGTCTAAATGCGTGTCCCAAAGTTCACGCAAGATTTGAATTTCGCGCCATTTGCGCGGTAAAGTGATATCAACGAAGAAGAAAAGACTGCGTGACAGCTGACAGTTTAAGGTTATTAAAAATGAAGCGCTACGCAAAAGAACAATGTGTCTTCGTTGTTGAGAAATATTTACAATTTCTAATTAAAAACCTGTGTTTTCTATCGAAATTACTTCCTGCGTGAATTTTGGGACATCCGATATAACATTGCAACGTCGAATAGCTACCAAAACTCGAAGACCTTCCCGACCTTCACCTCTACAACTCTCCCTTAACCTACCTAACCTAAACCATCTGTTCCTCATTCACTAATCCTCCCATTCCACCATATTCCCATTAACGGAACAGCCATAAACAGCTAATTACCGCCATTTCTATTCCCTCGTCTAATAAGAAACGAGCACTGAAACCTCATTATCCTTCCCACCGACGATAAATCACAAAGCTCGATTAACTCGGTACAAACATCCTTCGAGTTCCCTTCGCCTTGGACGAGCTGAAAAGCCTACGCGGAGATAAAGGCAGTAAATTTAGATAGTTGTCGGAAACATGGCGCGGCAACGTTACTTCCGCGACTCCGGCCGAGGCCCAATGTCCATCGCGCACCAGCCCCGCGCAGGAACGCGAGGGCCCGAGTCTGTTACTCGGCTGCAAGTCATTACGCGCGCTGGGTACTCCAGTGACCCGTGAACGTTTGTCGACCGTTCACCAACTGCTCGCAAGGGAAAGGCGTGGCCCCCTCCGGTCCCGCATTCCCGTATTACCGCAACTCGCGTCAATGGGTCTGGCGAATTCGCGAAATCCGCGCTCACGGTTTCGACGTTCCCCGATAGAAATCCTTGTTAAATTTCGCGAATTCCATTCCGCTGATTTTATCGCGTTTCCCTGGAAAAAGTAACCGCGATCGAAAGCACGCGCGTGGCCTCTGCTGGAGAGCGAAGGAAATAACATGGGTTCTTCGGTGGAGACCTCTGTCGAGATATCGGGGTATCGCTTTGACAATATTTTCCAGTCCGGTAAATGGCGACACTCGCGGTTCTCGTAAAAATTCTCTTGGTAAATTCTGAGGCGGGAAAATGTCGATATTGTGTCTAGTTTTGAAAACACGGATTCTCCGGTGGAGACCTCTGTCGAGATATCGGACAACTTTGCTAATATTTTCGAATCTGACCGTATCATATGAAAATTCTATCAATGGATGCTAAAACGAGGAAGTATTTCAGCTTCGACGAATTGCAGAGAACGTAATAGAAATTTGAAAGTTGGCGCATACTTTATCGACCAAGAGTATGTAACCACTATGTGTTTCACTGAGTTAACAAATTTTCGAAAGAATTGGACAACAATTTTGTTATTTAAGAAATATTTTAGTCGAACTACTGTAGGCATAAGGAAATGTGTTATTTCGATATAGATGCTAGTGAGAAAGCGATTCTAAACTTTCAGCTGGTAGTCTTCCCTGGAGCTCGCCGTTCAGACTGAAGGGATCACGTGTTTCAATATCAGTTTCTAATAACATAAATTACTATTTCCATGCAATAGTTGAGAAAATGTTACCGTTTCAATGGGGAAAGCAAAGTTACTCCCGTGGAACGGAAACACCTCCGCAGAATAAACTTGTACTTTCCTTGCGTCAGATGGCAGTCACCTCGCGACTCGAACAGTATCGTGAAAATTATCAAAATGACCGTAAATAACAATTTATCTATCTTTGTACTAAAAACTTCTAAAAAATAATTTAAAATAATTTCCCTAATTTAAAATTTGTAACTCCAAATTGTCATCTTCTACGGTATACTAAAAAGACTAGGCGCAATCGCTTATTTCAACTCTACTCTCATTAAAGCTACTGAAATAATTATAGTGATTAGTTTCGGACTATTATCTGTCACTAAAAATAAACAGCTGCGTTTGGCAAAATTAATGGTGACTTTTGTCGAAACAGAAATATAATTACATATACTATAACATAACGGTAACACGATACGTGTAATAAATTATAATAACAATAATTAAAATATTTATCGAGATACTATCCATGTATGCTATACTTTACAGATCAGTAGTTCCAGTGTTAAGTAATTAACACCGTCGCGTTAATTTTGTATTCTGTATTTCAAAATAAAACTCAAAGGTATTACGAAAGGACCAAAAGGATAGGGTACTATAAGATATAAAGACTCATAGTATTGAACGAAAGGTAGAGAATTATTTAATTCTCATTTCAGATGATGCAAAAAAGCGTACGGAAGCTCCTTCTAGTAGCAGCGCTGATAGCCTGCCTATCAATCGTGGCATCATCATCGAAGAGGGAAAGGCGGCACGTCGGCGTGGAAGAGGCCAGTCATCGAGCAGACAGAACGCACACGTCGGTCAACCGCAGTTCCAAGTCATCGACCAGAGACAACGAGATAACTACGGAAGCCGGAAGGAAAGTGTCGCACAAACTGATTGGAGGCCACTTGCGAGCGAACGCGAAGCAAGAAACATTCTGGGACGATGGGATTCTCGTATCGTCAGCTGGAAACGGCAGAGAGACCAAGACTAATCGCAAAGACGAGGATGACGAGAAGAAAACGCTCTCGCAACAAGTGAAAGAAGGAAAGTACGGCCTGATCCAGAACGAGATCTACGAGAAGAAACCCAAACGACCAGGCATAATCAGTTACCTAGGCAACCCGGAGGTACCAAAGGACACTATCGAGAATTTAGGAGGCCTCGACGAGGACGAGATCTGGTTAGCCGAGAACCACGTTCTAGTACTGAGAGGCGGGAAATTTCCTGGCCACGAGACGACGCAAGGTAGCGGCGACAGCTCGCAGACCTGGCCACCCATCGACGATTACAAGGCCCCCAGGAGACAGGTCAAGATACCGGCCAAGCCAAAGATACCGCCGCCCTTTCCGGTACAACTCACGGAGGGGGGCCCGATACAGATCATCGGGCCGAATGGCACCAAAGACATCGGCAATGGGACCGTGGACTACAGGAAGGACCCGTTATTTACCAAGGGGCTACTATCGGAGGACGGTCCACTCTACGCAGTTATAGCCAACGGGAGCATCATGATGTCCGACGCGAAGAACTCTAAGAACGTATCTACCGAGGAAGACAATTCGAACGTGAAAGATAAGGACGAGAAATCTAATCCTACACCGCCAGCCAGTTTGCCACCTTTCTATCACGCGATACCACCTGGAGCTGTCTTTGTCCCGCCACCGAGCAACCAATCGGACTACGACGAGGAGGATCAGTCTATTTATTATCCACCCCCGTACAGTTTCCAGTATCAGCAAGACAACGCGACAGCAGTGCCACCAGGTCCACTGGTGCCGGGGATCATCCTCCCACCCCCGCCAGACTTCTTCTCTGCTCTTGAAGACAAGAAGACTATGACGAAGAAGTATACCAAGCGACCAGAGACCACTTCCGTGTCAAGACCCAGGCCCACCTACTTGCCACCTAGGAAACTCACTACGAAGCAACAGAAGAACACCACGATGGTGCCAATCACGAAACCCAGATCAAACGTATCGGGAGTCACCAAGGTATACGGTAGAATAATGCACAGAAACCTGACAGAGACCACTACCAGGCCTAACACAAAGGCAATTCCGTATATCGAGATTACGACAGCCTCGCCGGACAAGACGACCACGCTTGATAACCCAGAATTCTATAATATTCCCCTGGTGGGGAACCAAGTAGTCAGTCAAGATAATTCACAGGAGAAGAATCAAGCTTGGTCAGGCATAGTAACTAGTAAAACGATTCCTATAGTGGCCTACTATGCCACCTCGACGCAGTCCACCTTGGAGAGGCCAGTGGAAGTGACGCCGGCCTCGATAAAGAGTATCGTTACTACCAGCAACCCGGAACGATCACCCAGTCAGGCCTCTTATTACTTCTACGAGGAATCCAACGAACCCTATCGCACCACTCCAAGTCAGATTTATTATAAAACTACCACGGAGGCACCTTTATACGAAACCGTGACACAGCCACGGAACGAAGGGAAGAAAAAGCAGTATTACAGCGTGGAGACTGTTCCATCGCGAGAAACGTCGAAGGACTACAGTATTAAGTTCATCGGTTCACCGGTGAAAAATTCTGGACCTATCCGCTACAGCGACTCGACGGTCACGCAAAGTTCAACGAGGTATGAGAGCGGATCGACGAGGACTCAAGGTCAACGTATGTTACCCGATCACGCACCTCTTTACTATCAGACCATATCAGCCCGACCAGCCGTCCCGGTGCAGGCCTACTACACCACCTCAAAGCCGCAGAACTACTACAGGCAAGAGGCGAAACCGAAGCCGATTTATCAGTACAGCTTCGAAGCCGCGGATTATTCGAAGCGTGGAGAACAGAGACAACGGTACGAGGAAAGACAGCAAGCAAACGCGTTCAACGAGTACGAAGAGGTCAAGATTAATGGCAACTATAACGGACACCGATACGATTACGAGAACGAGTCGGTACCCCAAAAGAGGGTGAAACCCCAAGTGTACAAGACTCAGCAACCGATTTATCCGTCAACCACAGACTCGGTGATAAGTACCACCCCGAATCCTCAACTCTACTATACTCAGCAGGATGAGAAGTTCCTCGACGACGTAACGAAAGAGTATTTCACGATCTTCGGTAAGAAGTTGCCGCATAAGGGTATACCCAGTACTACTCCCATATACTCCAAGTTGAACAGCGTCACTGAGAGGCCTGATTACGATAACGTGGACACCTACGTGGAAGATTTCGATACTCCTGAACCGCCCGTGTACAAGACACCTAACGTTAAGGTGCACTATGGGGATCAATCTCAGAGACCATATTCCCTCAAGGATGACATTCTCGTCAACTACAGACAGCCTCTTCCACCCATCAATCCGGACAGTGAGTTCATTGCGGTTGCTGACCCCAACCAGCAACGACCCAGCTATAGAATACCCAACAGGGACGAACAACCTCTGGCACCGATCCGTGCCTACCCGCCGCAACCACTGGTGAACCCAAGAAACGGATCCCCCACGAACTACGTACCAGTTGTGGAGTCTCCGGAAGAACTGGACGAGTATCCGCAGCTACCTATATCGTTAGAGGACGATATCAAAGTGAACTATCGCGACCCACGACCTACCATAAATCCTGACGCCGAATTCATAGATCCCATTCCCGTACAGGAGAATCAACCGGAAAAGCCAAAGGCCTATTTCGCGTACCGATTGCCGGGCGATGGCGGCCATTTTTACTTCCTAACGCCGCAGGCAATCACGCAGAGACCAGAACAAAATGCCGGTCACCTCTACTCGAAGTCGAGGGGAACTAGACTGCTGAGACGTCGACGGAGACCTGGCAACGTGTGATACGTGTACGCGCAGAGGCAGCCGCGCAATGCCATACTATAATCATCGAGGACGCACGATGGAAACGCGTGTCATATGTCGCGATAGTCAACGACGAAACGTTGTGTACCATTACTAGGATATTTATTGTACGTGTAAATATATATACGTGTATCTTGTATGCGTAATGTACGATTAAGGTAGATCATTATCGTTTGCGATATATAAAATGCTTAATTTATGCGACCTAACCATCATTCACTTCCTCCCCCCCGCTTTAGATTGATACAGATGAGATGTGTGTGTAACGTCGCTCGCGTGCGACGATAGGTATGCGCGGGTCTTTTAAGAGACCACGTGTACTCGCGCGTTGTCTGTGATTAACGATAGTAAACGCGTACCGTGTACATATAGTTATGATTGACGATATATATGTTCTATTGTAGAACGCTGAATGCATTTTCATAACCCGAAATATGTTATACACGACATGCATGGAATAAATATTGTTTACAAAAACGAAGCCTCCCTCATTGTGAGCAAAGTATCGATAAAACCATGATATTAGTATGAAGATTGGGGCAATCTCATAGACAGTATTTCCAATTCTATTACGATATTGATATTCGTTAAGCTATTCCTTGTACGATGCTCTGAGAGTTTTCAATCGTTCAAAAGATTTATTGTAAATATATATGTAATGAATCTGAGTGACGTTGCCTAATGGATGACATTAGTTAGGGTTCAACTAGATTGTAAAAAATCTTTTTAGATAATACGCGACTTTTGATGTAGTGGTAAACGATCTTTAAGAAATCGATTGTTTAAAGTTAAAAATAAAATGAATATTTAAAACAAGAAGATTCGAGATTGAACTCTGTCAGTCTTCCGCTAAAAGCCATGATAGAAATAAATCACACGAGCACTATTTTCAATCGTTGTTCGCGAACACAGGTATTAAATATAAACGGCTATAAAACATCTAGCTACTTAATAAAAATAAATGATGCAAGGAACACTTACCGGTGTCGATTTCCTGCGCCTGCGTTGGATCGGGTAATGGTTCGTCGTGCAGTCGCAAATATACCTCCATTGCACACTTCGCTGCTTTAAAATAAAATGGATGAGCTCGTAGCACATCTTCTAACCTTAGAAGACTCACGTAAGACCTCAAGGTCATCTTTCTCATACAGTAGGTATGAAAGTCGAATTGATCCTCTATGATTTCAGAAAAGTGCTATAATTGATAGAATTCGTTTAAGAGTGGGTAATTATAAATTACTTGCAAATATATGTATTGAAACTTACCCTATCAACTTCGTGACATTTCTTTAATGCCTCTCCATACTTTCCAAGACGTTTATAAGCATTGGCTGCTTCTGTCTGAATCCACATACACTGCATTTCGTTTAAATTTTCCATAGCTAAAACTCCTTCCCTAGTAAACCTGCCACACGTTTCTTCCGCCTCCTTGATGAGGTTTGCACGCAACATATACTTGGCACATTTGGAATTAATATATCGGTCTGCTGTGTCTAATCCTTGTGCTTCATCCAACCATTTATAAGCCTCTTGAACATTGCCAGCATGCTAATAATGGCAAAATATATATAAATTAAAGCACGTTACAACTGATAACACTATTAAAAAAATATGTCCTAATCATATACAGAATTTACCTTATAAATGCGACCTTTGGTAACAAAAAGTTCTATAAGTGTAGGAGTATGTTCTATGGCAGCATCAATTTCATCTAGTGCTTTTTCTGTAAGTCCGAGATGATCATAATGTTGTGCTAAATAATAGTAAGTCCATAACAGTGCCGAAGCTGGCTCTCGCGGATTATCTTTTTCTTGATCACTAAAATGCCCATGAGCTTTTAATGCTTCCTTGTACTCCAAAACCAAAGACTGTATAATATCAACCTTTTGTTGATTAACATATAGAGACCGAAGATTTACAAACAGAGGTGGTACACCTTTATGAAGACCTACAACACAAATAGAATATAATTACGATAATAGGATAAATTGAAATAAATTGTGATAAAAATGCTTTCAAATGAACAAAACCATAAATCATACCTCGTCGTAAGTACCGGTCTACTAATGCTTTAAATTCGTCCCCCATAGCATAATTTAACTGTAAGCGACGCGGTGCTAACGCCCGGGGAAACAATTCTTCGTATCTTTGGAGCATAGCTAATGTTTCTTCTGGTTTAGCATGTCTTTCAGCCTCAGCTAGCCTAGCATAATAAGTTGTATTTTCAGGATTTATATTTAAAAGTTCCTTATAAACCTGTGCTGCTTCTGCATATTGTTGTAATTGTAATCTTAATTTACCTAAACAAATAAAATATGAAATTACTTTTTAAAAAATCGTAATGAAACTAGTATTTTTTACAATTAAATTATAGAAAATATGTAACTTACCATATGTTTCTTTTACAGTAACTTTATCAGAAATTTTATCACTATATTTGTCGAGATGTTTCAATGCTTGTTCGCATTCTCCTGATTCTTGGATAACCATGTTTTGATACAATAGCAACTCACTATGCTCATAATCACAACAAATCTATACATTTCAAAAATATCCCTACATTATATACTATCACAGCGACATTTAGTTACAATTTCTATTATAATAATTTGAAAGGAACTGAATCTATATACTGTATTATTTAAAATAAGATGTTCCTTTTTTTATACAATGGAAAATTATATGATATTAAAATACATACCATTGGTGAATTTCGAAATGTGTCTAAAATTTTAAGTGCTGTTTCATAATCTTTTAATAAGTGATATGAGATAGCAAAACCAATCCATGAAACACGTTGTGTAGGACGTAACATAAATAACTGATATCTTGTGTCCTAAAAATGGTATAAACATAAATATTAATATAAAGGATTACATTCATAGCAGTATGTGTATATAAAATTATTACTTGTTTGAAACTGAATTTATATTACTTTAAATATATGTATCCTGATATTCACACATTATTTCATTAATTTCATTTAGATGTTATATAACTTTTCTATCAAAATTCATTAATATCTTATTCATGAATAATCAGTGGCGATATATACATATCACATTATTTATATATATAACAAATTGCATAATATTACATTACATTAGGTAAAGATTAGATTAATAATGCAAATTGACATCAGATAAACACAAGAATATAACTAATTATACATAGATAATGAACAGGAATTAGAGTCTTTATATCAATTTACCTTATAACCCTCCAGATCCCTCATTTGAATTTGAAGCATCGATAAGTCCCTAAGAATTTGAATGTTATCCTTATCCCATTTAAGGGCATTTCTATAACACTTAATAGCTTCATCATATTTCTTATCCGAGCGTTGTAGAAGTCCATAAACGTGCCAACATACATGAGATTGTAAATCATTCCTAAGACCTCTCCGGACATGATCGTATGCTTCTTCCTTGCGACCTAAGCAGTTCAGAGTGAGACCTTTCATTGCCAAGGTCTCTCCATGTTCACTAAATTTAGGGTTTGATAAAATTTGCTTTGCAAACTTTATCCCATTTTTATACTGTTTGTGTTCGTAACACCTCTGCAAGAAACATAAATACGTTTCATAGGATAAAACGTTTTCATGATTTCAATACTATGTACTTGAATAAACTGGCATTATAAAGTATTGTAAAAGACAAACAAGAAATCACGTTTTCATTCATAAGATCAATAAAATTTTTATGATTTGTCATTGCCAGTGAATTTTTTGCAATTTTTCGAAGAGTGCTTCATCATTAGAGCATGATGAATACTCCTATTAGCCGAAGAGTGGGGTCCAAAACAGAGTATTTTGATTACATGTTACTCACCAGAATTCGTTTAAACAAGGCATTTTCTTTGGGTGGCAAGGGATTGCTGGAGGGCATTTTTGTATAAACACAAAAATATAAGGCCTTTTCCACCCGGTAAACTTAATTTTCACCACAAAACCTCGTGGCCACAAACGAAGAAGTCGATCTTCGATCACGTGATCATCTGCGACAATGCTGTTCCGCCGGAAGTTCTAAATCCACGGTACCGCTCACTTTAATATATCTTATGACTTTTATAAATTAATAAACAATAATAATACGTTCTTCACGTATACTGGCGTTTATATTTCGTCCTCTACGCTGCGTTCGATGATTTTACCTTTTCCGGAATTGCATGAAATATATATTTGTAAGTAATGATAGCTAATGCTATTCAAGGAGCGTTCCTATGAAATGATAAAGATTATGCAATTGAGACATTGTTTACATTATATGTAATAGAAAATAATAAATATGTAATAAATATAAGTATGTTTCCTAACTCATTTCATGCGAGTTTTAACAACACATAATTTTATAAACATATACATATTCAATCGTCACCAATGTCAAGCACTATTTTCAAATTGTTCACACTATGATTGGTCTGCTTTTAGAAACAAACCATATATTCTGTATGTCCACATGGACTTTGTAGGATTAGGTTTAACAATGTTTCAAATAAATGCAGTGTTTGAAAATATGAATTATAAAATTATAAAAAATCATTAATTTATACATAAATGAACTTTTAATAAATTCATAGAAACAGTAATCTTAATGTGATATAGGTATAATATTAAATTGTATACCATCGTTAATGTTTCATAAGAGGTTATGTAAACAATACCACAAAATATTTAGAAAAAAATTCTTAATTAATCAAATATATTTCATATTTTATGTTTGAAAAGTAATTTATTAAAATTTGTATGCATCAAATAATATGTCATTAATGTGTAGAAAATTATGCTCTTCTATTTTATGTGAGCATTTTGGAAATATTGTGCAACGTGTGGGAGAAGATTTATTTATGCATGGTGCCAAGCCATTGGGTTTGATTCGTTTTACAACAAAACTTCCTGTAGCCAAGGTATAACTTTATGTATTTTAACTTATTGTTCCTATTCTTTATTTAACTACATTTATCCTTTATAGATATGTTATAAATATTTAATGTTGCTTTTAGATTAAAGAAGCATTATGCGTTTTAATAAAATATGGTTTTGTTACGTATCAGGAAGCAGAAAAAAAAATGGAATATTCATTAGATTATAAGAAAGTTTTAATTATTCTTCGTTATCCAAGGTGATACATTGTTTATGTATGATAAATTTTACTACTTTTCCTTTATCAATAATATTAAGAAATAAAAATGAGATTATTACAGATTAGATATTTTACTTTTATTAGGTATATGTTCTTTGTAAAAACAGTTTGTGGAGATGAATGTGAAATGATGTTAGAAGAAGTACTAAAGCATGGATGTATGACAGCTTCTGAAGTAATAGTGAAAGTGTATAAGAGAATTGAACAGTCATCTTGTATGTAAATTTATATTTTAAAGGTTTACCTTAAAAATAATTATATTATGTTACAATGATTTGAAAGGAAATTTTTTTTAAATTAATTATTTTCTCATACTTTTAGCTGAAGAACAACCAACAGTTTCAGTTTTAAAAGAGAAATTTGAACTTCTCGTTAAGAATCAATTTTTAATGCGTAGTTTACCTTCAGATTCAATTGAAGAGAAAACAAACGAAAAACCTGATTTTAGATTACCAGATTTGAATTTAGCTGCTATTACTAAAAAAATAGAAGGAAATAATAGTGATCCTGGAGATATCAAAATTTATTGGAAAGTTAATTTTGATCGTTTTACTCAGGATTTAAGGTAAAGTTTATAGTATGTGCAATGATCATAAGACATATAAGGAATTTACAATATAATCTATAGGGATCAAATTATTGTATCAGCTATGAACAGAAGACTTGACGAAAATGCTGGAGAATTGATAAGGCAGTTATTATTCCTTATGTTTTTACGGACAGCATCATGGGCAGACACATCCAATCCAATACCTCTTACAGAAATAAAAGATGCAGTTAGAAAAACAAATTTTCCATTACTTACACAACACCTTGATCAATATTTACGTCTCATTGGTATGGGCAATAGGTGTACATAAAAGGTTTTGTAAATTATTTCAGTGTTGTAAAAGTGTTGCATAATACTTAATTAGTATATAATTTTAGAGGAAGATACTAGTCAATTCTTAAAACGTGTCGGCGATTCAGGAGGTGGTCAATACAGCGTTAATATGAAAGAAGCATTTAATCAATTAGCATGGGCAACTTTAGAAAATATCGTAATGGAACGGTTTGGTTCGAAAGCAGCTAGAATCTTTAGGTACAATATAAATTTCTGTTCTCTATTGTGTTTAATATCAAGTAAGTCGATTATATCCATTATATTGTACAGGTTAGTACGTGAGAGAAAGTACATTGAACAGGAACAAATTCAGCAATTAGCAATGATTCCAGCAAAAGAAGCTAAACACTTGACATATACTCTATTACAAGAAAACTATTTACAAATGCAGGAAATAAAAAAGACTGGAGTATCAGCTACACCGATAAAAACATTTTTCTTATTTCATATTGATTTAAATTTTGTCGTACGTATGGAGATTGAACACTGTTATCATGCACTGTACAATACTATGCAAAGACGAGAATATGAAATAAGCAGTAATAAGCGAATGATCGATAAACAATTGCGAATGCAAACTCTTACGAGTAATTTAAAAGAACATGGTGCTACCGAAGAGCAATTAGCAGAGGTGCATATAGTACTGGTTATTATATTGTTTGTAATTGTACAACAACAAAATAATTACATCCAAATTATTTACAGATTGCAGAATTAATGACACCATCTGAGAAACAGCAATTGGAGAAAGTTCAAAATACAATAAAGAAATTAGGTATTACTGAATTGCAGATCGACGAAACTCTATTCCTACTGTCAATGTATTTGCATTATCATTAAATAAAGGCATATTTTTCTTAAATATGTCACATTGTTATATATTTTTGTAACAACACTACCCATTTTTACTATGTCCAAATATGCAATTAATGCATGAATTCACGAAAGAAGAAATACATAAAATTTAATTCATTTATATAGTTATTTATTTATGTATAATAATGGTTACGCTTGTAAAATACAAACAACAAAGAATACCTAACTTTCAAATTATTGTAATAAATATAATCATATATCTATGTTTATAATAGTGCTGCTCTCTATGTGATACAGTGCATTTGATGTCACTATCTGTCAGGGAAAATGATCTTGGAGTACACACCTTTAAATGTTCTACCGTTGACAAACACTTTGTGTAATTATACCTTTTGATCTATGCAATATGAACGTATGTTAGTTGATTAGAAACAAATTATTAGAGTTATGAATCACAGCCAGCTCAAGGTGCCTTATGGATCAGTAAATAAGTCGAACACTGCAGCAAATGCTATTTATAATTAGCTAAAACGTAATTCCATTACGGTATGTAAAGACTGGAGACCATCATTTTTGGTGTGTCGCTACTATCGTACGTTTTACTTCCAAGTATGATTTTCCCTTAATTCCTAGTATATGTTTTGTACGTTCATCTCAACACTACCGCGATGGAAACGGACTTTTCCGTTGTAAATATTTATTAATCATGAAAATTCAAAGCAGATAGTGTTAATAGTAAAGGTTCACCGATCTTAAATATACATATTTTGATTGTATGCTATTGACACCAATTAATAACGTGTACTACAGTCTGTCGCGAGTAGTGATAAGATGATCGTGAGCGTGTAATCGCATCCAACATGCATTTGACTGATTTCATACTTTTCTCTCCCTCTCTTTTCTCTCGATACATACAGACACACACCCATACACACACTCTGTCTCTCTCCCCTCTCTTGTTCTTCTCTCATTTACACGGTACTGCATAGACTATGTACACTGCACGTACATACAAGTTTCTTCTAGAAATAACGTTGTATACCTAAAACTAAGGTTGAATTTCGGTAAAGCGTTATTTTATTATATTTTTTTTCATACCATTAACAACAACGTACATGTAAATGAAGTGAATTCTTGGAATATTGAGATTGGATGTTAGTGTTCACTTTTTTTCTTCGTTACGTTAGATATACTATAGTATTAGTAATGTATTCGTTTTACAATTTACTATTCTTACAGCTTGCATTCGCACTGGTTGCATTTCTTTTCTTTTTTTTTCTTTTGAAATCCGATGAATTTACAGCGAGTGCATTGAGATTATCGTGAAAACATTCGTCTCTAGGTATACAAACGAAAAAAAAAGAAAAACAAAACGAGGAAAATAAAGCTACTTAGTATCGAGTGCTATTAACGAACATTATTTTACGGGAACCAAGAAAAGTCGATCTGTCGTTTCGATCACGTAGTTGCAATCTGTCAAATGCATAACTGAAGTGACTCTTAAAGCAAACAGTGCGTTGTAGGTAATCGAAATCGATGAAAAATTTCACAAGGGAGATACGAGCCGAGCTTAATTATACGTACGCGTTTCGAAAATGCCTTCTTGAATGAAACCGAGCGGAGGAAATCGAGGAATAGAGAAGAGCGGAAAGAAAGCGAATTATTTTGCAAGGTTATAAAGATATGGCACAATAGAAAATAATATGCAAGGCGCGATTATATCTTCCATGTTGAGCGATCGATTAATTTATCAATTGGTTAATGAACCATGAGACGAATAAGGCTGAACTGTTGATCTTTGAGGTCAACTGGCGAAAAAAAAGGAAAGCGGAAAAACACAAGGCGGGGAAACCCAATTGCTTCGGGGAAACATACGTAGAAGTGTCCAACGAGAGTATACCTTTCGGTTTTCCAGGACGTGTGACAAGAAGAAAAAGAAAAAAACGTTTCAGTGTAAATGTAAAAAAAAAAAAAAAAACATCTAATTGTTGCGTGAACGATACGACATTGAAGATTTTTGAGTATTCGAGCACGCAAACGATCAACGAACTTTGTGTCGCTGTTGTCGTTGTCGATGTCATTTGAACTGGCACGTACAACCTCTATTGCTATGCGTAATAAGGATAATTATTAAAAAAAGAGAGAAATAATATAATAATATTAATAATAATCAATAATAATAATAATAGTACTAAATAAAACTGATGTGACAATAATAAAATTAAGGATAATAATAGACATAATAATGACCAAATGAAAATAAGAATATGCATCGCATTTTTAACATTTCGTTAAATCTACGTGTTCTCGAGTAAATTACATATATGTAGCACTATGCAAGATACATCACAATATAGTTACACTGTACATTCAATAGTATTGACACTTTTTTTTGCGTCGGTCGATTTTTTCTGTCTCTCATTCTCTCTTTCTCACTTCCGTCCTCTTTCGCTCTCTCTCTCTCTCTCTCTCTCTCTCTCTCTCTCTCTCTCTCTCTCTCTCTCTCTCTCTC